ACATCCTAAATAGTAAACGAATTTCGTCTTGACATTGAAAGTTCTTTGCATTTTTTCAGATTTCGTTTCATAAAATTTAGGAAACATTGAAGGAGGCAAGAATACGATTTCAAGGTAAGCGGTTTAACATTATCATCGTACATTACGACATGGCTGAACTCAATCATCAAAGGCAGAACATTTTGAAAGGGTCCCAAGTGGCTGCCATGGCAGACACCTGAAAGAAAGTCAGAGGCGTGGAATTTAAAGCTCACTAACACTCGTGCGAAAGCCATTAGAGAAAGCCATTAGAGAAAGCCTTGAAAACGTGACGTGACTAAATTCTAAAAGCTTTGTGACGGTTAACCTTTAGAAAGCCATGCCTAAAATAAAGAGCAAGAAAATTTGAGAGCGTATGCTAACTGTTAAGTAACAATTCGTTTAAACAGTTTTGTTAAAGCACTCAACGTAGCAAGCAATGCTTCTGTACTTCTTGACCTTTGTGAACATGTCGGAATAAGGAAACTGATCCGACAACACAAAGGGAAGACATCCATTGTTAGAGATACAATAGAAAACGTTGAGAAAACAGCACATAACCCATGGGAGCGTAATTTGAATATAAATGATCGAATACCATTAGACCTTGGCCAAGAATTAGAGATTATGGACTGATTTCCGAAATCATCAATTTTCGAATTAAAATCAAGTCTAATGTAGATAATCGTCAGTTGAATCGAAATACGTCGAAGAAAAATTTAAAGTTTAAAGTGAGAGAGAAAATCGAATTAGATAGTTTATCTCTTGACCGCATTGCAGCACTCAGTAATTTCGTAGGATAAGATACCTACACACAGATATAGAGTAAGTAGTAAACTAATTTAATTTTAATAATTGAATTAAAGAATTCAGTTTTTCAAATTTGCTTACTATCCTGTAGAGTCACAGTTCGAATGTAAAAAAGGAAAACTTCACATTTCAGAAAACTGTTACTTTATGCTGCCGACGTGAAGCAGTCAATTTTTGTTTTAATTGATGCGACAGTTATATTGTGTTGAGACTTGGAATATGCAATTCATTTGTTCATGTCACTTGTGACCCTTCGTGAAGCTTAGTAGATGAGAGAGTTTTTGGTAAAACTTTATTGCCAGAGTATTTTTCCTTTCATCACTGCCAAGTAGTGCACGGTTTTCATAAACCGATTAGAAAAGCACGAAAGAAAAAAGAGGAGAAGAAAAGCCTGCTGCTACGCCATTTAAAAGCGCATTCAATGATAACAATTCAAGATTTTAAGTAAAATAAACGATGTTTGCTTTACCTTCTTCTTATCTCATCTACATAGATACTAGAGGGCTTGCAAAAATTTTGACCAGCGATTTGTGCAGATAAGAGTGGTAAACAAAGGGGAAATATCAGGGCATAGAACGATTAAATTCGATAATTTTGACCTTCCTCGACATAAAACGATAGCCTTCCATTCTATACCATTGATTTAGTCAGCGCACGACGGGCCATGCTAATCATCGAGCGCTCAAAATTAATTCTTTTTCTTTCAAAACTCATTATTTTTGTTGTTCACTTGAAGAAATCTGCTGCCGAAGCACACCAAACGCGTTCAAAGGCTTATAGTGATGTTGCTCCATCATCCGTCCGTTTTGGGTTGAACGTGGGTTTAAAAATAGCGACACGAATTGACTGAAAATGACATTCTTCGGGCACTTATCGCCACTCATCAGACATGGCGCCTCCTGATTATCACTTGTTCAGATAGGTGCTGTATTGCTTGGCTGGCACGCTCCTCCGCAAGGTTGAAGAAGTGCGAAAATGGCTCGGTGGGTGGATAGCTGCCGAACCAATATCGGTAAAGTTGTAGAAAATTATGGCCAAATTTTCCACAATAGGTATGTCTTAAATGTATGTTTCTTATGGGCGTGTCAATGAATTGAAACAAATTGAAGCAGTCTGTACTAACTGTTATACAAAAGGGATGCATGCTACTCTTTAATAAATATATTCTTGACCATTAGTTATAGGCGAGAACTCACATTACTACTTAGCCATCAGCAATCCGGGCGAAATTTTTCTATAGCAAATAATTCGAGGATTAACTCGATGCGAGTTCATATATAAATCTCTCTTTCTCTCTCTTTCTTTCTCTCTCTCTCTCTCTCTCTCTCTCTCTTTCTTTCTTTCTTTCTTTCTATTTCTCTCCCTGAGAGAAAGCTCTCTGTCTGTCTGCAGTTCTCACTTTTTTCACAAAATATCTTTTACTCAGCTGGTCCTAGTTCTAGTTTAGAAAACAATAGATAGATAGATAGATAGATAGATAGAGAATTTAAACTAAAGTGAGGCTTCATTTATTTTCAACTTGAATAGAAAGAAATGCATAAGCAATCAAAAATGTACTCTTCATGTACTCAAAAATGTGTACTCATAATACATTTTAATTTTCGTATCGTTCACCATAAATAAGAATTAACTTTATAGATTGACATTTGCTGTAGGGAGCTAAGTATTAAAAGCGGGAAAAAACAAAAAAAAAGGAAAAAACGTTGATGTTGTTGTCATGATTTCAAGTGTAATTTACGCAGCAGTTGCTACCGAAATACGCTTAAGATTATTATCGTGCACTGCATTCAAGCGGTGAATGTCACTTTAACAAAACAATACAGACGCAAGCTCAGGCAAGAAACGAATTACAGGTGAGATTATGTAGTGAATGCTTAAAGTATGTACATTAAACAAATAAATAAAAAAAAAATAATAAAAAAAAAAAAAGTAAATAAATAAAAATAAAAAAGAACAAAAAAGGTCCACAACTACAGGTTTACACAGAAATGCGAGCAAAGAAATGGATATAGAACGAATTGTGAAAATACCCTAAAGCATGCATACAATGAGAAGCTCAATTAGGTGACTATATGTCTCGGCTTGAGCGCTATTTTAAACGTTTATTATAAGCATTTTTCTAAATTATTAGATTAAAGCCTAAAATGCTTAACGTCATGTTTACATATGCGCGTGGATGGGAAGAAGAAAAAAATGAAAAACATCTACGATCTTATCCAATTTATTTATGCAAGTAAACGAGTAAGTGGTAGGCAGACTTTCGTATCGGAGGAGATTTCGATGTACCTTTGTTTATTTATTTATTTATTTATATATGATTTTTTTATTTTTGCTTTTATTTGTTTTTTTTTTTTTTTTTTTGTTAATTTTCGTTGGGGGGATTTTGTTTAATATCAGCCAGCTAGCAGCCTCGGCAAACAAAGGAAAGCGTGTTATCAGATTATTTGTTATTTAACTTATTTTTTGTATTTTTTTGGTTTTTTTTTTCTTATTTTGTTAACAGGCCCCAGAGCACGGCCTAGGGTTTGCTTATGTTTATTTGCCTCGATACCTGACCGGAGTATGCAAAGTGGCTTTTACCAAACAAATATGTGTATATGTGTGCAAGGAGAGAGACAAACAGAAAGACAGGCAGGCAGGCAGGCAGGCAGGCATGCATGCATGCATGCCTTCATGCCACCATGTATGAACGCATTGTATAACAATTGTACGCGCTTTAATAAACATATAACCGCATTTATGGCTTAGGAAAGATTGAAAGTAAAACATAAATATAAATATAAAGATACACTCTACAAAAGCAGCAACAGCAAACAACAGCAAAAAGAAGAAAATACATCAACAACAACATCAACAATATCAACAACAACGATAATAGCAATTATTATTATAATGCAATAACAAAACATAACTATAGTTATGTTATACTTATGAATAAACATTACAAAGTATATATATATATATATATATATATATATATATATGTGTGTATGTGGGATCTGTATCAACAATCAGTACCAAAAACTGCTACCACTATTACGGTAAGGTATGACTGCATACGTGAAAGTGTGTCTACATGTTTGTGCCAATGTGCACAGTATGGGCGAGTGCTGGTTTTACTTGTAGCATTATCATGGTACGTAGAGTAAGTAACACCAGTAGCCTTAATACATATGTATATGTATATATCTATATATTTACATACATTCACACACTTTTAGGCACATACAATACAGATATTTTGAATGCATATCGTCCTTATTGTATTTGTACATATCTGTTAATTTTGTTCTTTTATATATATATATATATATACATATATATATATATTTTTATTTTTTATTTTTTGTTTTTTGAATAAGTCAGTCGAATTCTTTGCGGAGATCTAAGTAAGGTGGTGCTAGATATATATATATATATATATACATACATGTACATATGTACATGTATATAAATATTGGAGAGGGAACAAGACGGAGGAAAGTTAACCACACAAAACGTGCTTACTATGCAACAATCATAATCACATCTACAACAATCACAACAACAATACGTAATAAAAAAAAAAAACATCTCGCATCACACTACACAACTCCAACATCATATCACAGCCTCATGAGCACAAACGACATTCAGAACGTTTGGAGCCGACTTAGTCTTGGCATCCAATACTCAGTAAGTATATCAGCGCAGCACGGTAGCCGAAAAACACATTTATGTATATTTTTTATAAGTTTGTTTGTATGTTCAGTTTTTGTTTTTTTTTCAATTTTTTTTTTTTTTTTTTTTTTTTGTCGCAGGTAACACTAACACCAACACCACAATCACAATCACTTGAAAATTGAACAACTTCTGTAAGAGAGTTCTGTTCATGCCTAAAAATGTGTTCTTTGTGTAAAGCCTGTACATTTATCCGTCCGTTCTTATACTTAAGAGGGTAGGTATATATGTGTGTGTGTATATATATATATATATGTAAAAATCTATGTATATTTTGTATATAAAGTGAGCATAGTTTATACGTTTTTTCTTTTCTCTCCTAAGTTCAACTTAACAAATTTCAAGATTTTCTTTTTTGCGTCTTGTTTTTTCTTCTTTTTTTTTTTTTTGAGTTTTTATCGTTTTTTTTTTTTTTTTATTTTATTTTCATTTTGGATAACAGAAGAGATCATCGTCTCGTGAATTTGGTATTTATGCATTTTATGCCTGATCCATGTGGTTTTTACTACACATGCCTTCGGTGCTACTGTGCCTTCTGATATTCATGTTGTTGCTGCAGATATTGTTGTTGTTTTTGAGCCCATCTGTGGTTTTTCGCAATGACTCGTTTCAATATGTTGCAGGTGGCAAATGTGTAACTATTAGAGTGGCCAGATTTAAGTATTGTTGAACTTCTCTGATAACAATCTTACTTCAATTTATTTAGTGAGATACAGATAGAGCTTTTTCTTCCTACTTCATCTCCAAGTTGTACGAATTTCAGTTTATTACCAAGTCGAAGTCCTACATGAGACTCACTCATAGGCACAACAAATTGAATGCTCGTTGCTCAATTTCAACTGACTATCTTTATCGAGAGTTGTGGGTTTGCGCGCTTTTAATGGAATTTCTTTTTCTTTTGTAATTGCGAGCTAGGCCAGTGCAGTACATGAGCGATAAAATCGGATCAGAATCTAATGCATGATCATTGATCAGAGCATAAGGCAACTTGGCAACTGGGAATTCTCAAGTGCAGCAACAGCAATGTTCCATCACTCAATTGTGAACGTAATGGTAACAAGCGAATGTTGGTTAATAATGTCTCCACAAAGGGCACTATTCGCTTTTCTATAAGGTCAATATGCATTCAAGTAATGAATTCCTATCAGAGTTCTTTCAATTTTTCGCTTCTACGCTTATGACTGACTGGTTGTATCAATAATTTGACCAATGACCTCAGAATTTAACTATGTTAAACGTGACTCTTTGGCTCGTGGTATTATGTAGTTTATCAAGCTAATATGCACTCGCATTTTGTGCTTCATAACTGTTGTTATTGTCCTCATCTGCGAAGACAAAAAAAGGTAAACAAGCATTTGCTTATTAACGTCTTTCTGTGAAAGAAGAATTTTACTAAAATTATTTATTGAGTTTTTCGCAAGAGCACTGCATCATTAAAGTTCATCTTGCATTACCTGAGTGTCTCATCGGCATTAAGACCAAAGACAAGATTGAACAATCCTTTCGCTCAATTTGGTTTGATTTGAGCTATCCCTAACGCTGTCTATGGCCTCTTAAGTATCTATGAAAACGTTATATCGCTAAAGATCATTTCAAAATCTTTGCAGAACTAGAAGAACTCAAAATTACTGACTCATAATTGGGTAAAGAATAGAAAAAAAAGAAAAATAAGAAAACAATACCGTATCTTGTTAGCGGATATAGACAATACTCACGTATTGAATAAACGATTTAAAGGAAAGCGCTTTCACAAATCCGAAAAATTGACGGCTTCGTCGACGAATAATTGATTTATACATACAGCGTAGCAAGTTGAGTGAAAGCTCTCCCGCTCCGTTAAAATGTAGCAAGGAAAAAAAAAAAGAAAGAAATACCTCTGGTCATCTTTAAAAACCACTAACAATAATTTTTCTTTATGAAATATGAGAAGTCTAAAAAAAGAAACAGAACCTACAAGAAACAGGAAAAAAGACTGAAGCAGAAAAAAGCCAAACATAAATTAAGAAAAAATAAAAAATCTACATAAATGTGCACATATGTACGTCCATGTATAGACGGCTGAAAAAGATATCCACTCAGGGTAAACAAAAAAGATTTTATGATCTAAGGTTACTTGGACAGGGCAACGAGAGCAAGCAGTTCTTTTAATTTCTGGTATTTTTTTTTTTTTATTTTTTTTTTTTTTTTGGGACAACCGCGCATGATATCGAGCAGTTATTGGATGTGTTTGAAAGTTCGGACGTTTGCTTTATTTATTTATTTATTTTTATTTATTTTTTTTTTCTAATAATCAATTTTATAAACATCGTCAATTTTGTCAAGTTGCTGGGGGATGTTAATGTTAATGAAAGTTGAAAAAAAGGATAGCGCGCAAAATATGAAATTTTTTTACTTCAAGCCAACGATAATTGGAAACTTGTCTGTCAGGTTGGGTTAAGAGACCGTAACAACAAATACCTTTGAAAATTTTTGTTTAAGATTCAAAATTTTTTTTATGTCTAATATGAATGGCAAACTGTGACAGCTGATTAATGGTAACGGTAGCGTTATGCTAACTGGGGTTGATAATAAAAAATTGATTTTTTTGTCCAAAAATATTTTGCTTTAGAAAGAAACAAGTCGCAGACCCAATGTAAAAGAGAAAAAAAAAAAAAGAAATACTTGTTGACCATTTGGCACTTGAGAGTTGAGTTCAGCTAAGTATGATGATGGTGAGCTGAACGCTTACGAATACGTGTATGCATATGTGTGTGTGTGTGCGTATGGGCTCTTGATTTAGCGAAGGATATAGATTACAAATTCGAAAACAAAGGCCTGAGCATGAAAAACAGTCATGAACTGATTTTGAACAACACTCCAGACGAAAAAAAGGTTTGATTTTCCTTTCTTTTTTTTTTTTGTTTTTTGTTATTTCAGTAGAAATAAATCAAAATTCTGAACATAAAGTAAAGACAGTCTGCTTGGGTTTGGGGGTAGAAGAAAAGAAAACAGAAGAGAAGAAAAAATGAAAATAAAAATTAAAATAAATAAATAAATAAAACACCGACAATGCGACATTAACAACATCATTGTGTTCATTGTTATTGTTGTTGATGTCTTCAGATGTCAACTTCTCTTCAAACCGCAGCCAGGTAAATACGATAATATTTTATGTAACGTGCGTTGTTGAGCTTCTTGGCTGGGCTGATATTCCGATGAAGCACGTGACAACTCCACCTACACATGTAAAACGGTTTTTTCCACAAGACAACAACAAATACAACAAAAACGACATTAAAAAGTGTATTTAAAATAATTTTGTTTATTCCGTCTGGCAATAGATACACAAAACAAAACAACAACAAAAAAAAAAAAAAAAATACAAAACTGTCGGCCATATAGCCTGTCAGTCAGTCAGCCAGCCAGTCAGTCAGTTAGTCAGTCAGTCAGTCAGTCAGTCAGTCAGTCAGTTAATCAGTCAGCCAGTTAACCAGACAATCGGCCAATCAGGCAACCAAACCGGCAATACGCAGCCAACGACTCAGCCAAACAAATCAACAACAGCTAAGCGCATTTAAACTCAATGGAGTTAAATTGATAATATTGTTGGTATAATCGTTGTTCATTATTGTTGCCTGCTGTTGCTCTTGTTGCTATTGTTATTCCTAGTGTTTGTGTTGGTGGAATTGTTACTGATATTGCTGTTATTACCGTTGTTGTTGTTGTTGTTGTTGCCGATGATGGCGATGGTGTTCAAACAAGCATATAACTGTTTTAATTGTCAAGTCTTGTAACTATTTCATTTGTCAAGCGAGACTCTCAAGCACTATATTTAAATGTGGTTTTGTCAGTTAATTATATTGTTGCTGATGTCTAACTAAATCCATTATTGTTGCAGCTCCAAGTTATATGTTTAATAATAAAAAAGAAACACTCATAAACGCACACATATATATATATACACGCATACAATTAAATAGACGCACGCATGCATACATCAAAATCTATATATAGTATACATTCACACATATGCGCATCACAGATACGCATAATACGTGTAAACGTTATCATCATTGTCATCGTCATAATTCTGTAAACAATTGTCGGTCAGAATATGTTAGCGTTTTTACTTCGTTTAAATGCGTTCATACGCCTTTAGTATCATCGTCATGTAAATGTACCACTATATATGATATACAACTATATTCACATATATGCCATATATAAACAAACATATGTAAATCTATGTTTACGTATATGATGGGTTGGTTATTTGGTTGTTTGGCTGTTTGGTTGTTTGTTTGTTTGGTTGGTTGGTTGGTTGTTCATTCTTCGTTAAACAATAAATGCGTAACATACGTGTGAGCGTCTTTAAATATGTAAAAATATGTGTAAATATGTATGCGATTTTTTGTATGCGTGCGGTGCATGCATGCATGCATGCATGCGTGCGTGCGTGCGTACGTGCGTGAGTGCGTGAGTGCTTGCGTGCGTGTGTGTATGTGGATATGTTAATGTGTGCACGTTTTCTTTTCACTCCATTCTTTAACGGCATACTAATATATCACCGGCTTGTATTACAGGTTATCTGTTGTCACAAAAAATAATAGCACCAGCAGCATAAACAAACGCATTTCTATACCATTGTAGGCCGTAAACTGTTTTTCATTGCTTTTTTTTTTTTTTTTTTTTTTTTTTTGTTTTTTTAAACGTTTGTTCTTATTGCCGTTGTGCCTTAATGTTTATATAAATTTTTTTGTATTTTTAATTTCATTTCACAAATTAATGCAACACCGCTTGGTATAAATTCTCTCCATATGTGCTCAAACGTATGTATGTGTGCATGCATATATATGTGTGTGTGTTTTGAAGTTTTAAATTAACTGAATCGACACCAATAAATCAAATTATACGAGCGCTCAAGTTAATTGCGGTTGTCACATATGCACACACAACAAACAACCACACATTTACACACCCAAAGACAACAACACGAATAAATAAAGTATTATATATAATCTTTGAAATATCTTTTCTTTCCTTTTTTTCGTATGTTTTTAAAAAAAAAAACATTTTTTTTTTTTTTTTTTTTTTATTATTAGATTACGATGTTGTGGGATTGATTTCATATATGTTAGCTTTTGTTTGACAAGAAAACACCCTCAATTACACGATCTCGTCTTTGTAAAGCACATCCGCTTTTGCTTATATTTCAAGCTGACTTCATTAATCAAAATCAGCCAACTCATCTGGAAATCGCAACTTATCACAATTTTTATAGATCTCTCGATTGGCGATTGGTGATTGGCGATTGGCGATATTTTGTGAAACTTTTTGATAAGATGAAGACAGAAGCGCGAAAAATTTGTCAAATTCAGAAGGAGCTCTTCATCATTCATACATCCGCAGCAAAGCAAGTAATCACCGCTATGCGTGGCTGATGGTATCATCCATTGTAAACTAACTAAACAAATTGTCGGCTTTCGACTACTTATTCGTAATGATTTTTATATCCTTAACAACTTTTCGCCACCAGGTGAATATAATGTGTTCGTGTGGATGTATGCAACATCTAAGAAGATTCGAGAGGGACTTAAACTTTATTATATTACTCGTTTAACCGAAGTATCCTTACGCTCTTAACTTAAACATGTCCATCCGTCTGGACATTTTGTGGCTGCCGTTATGTTATATGATGCGTTCAATGCGTTCAATAGAATGCAAATTTCAAATGTCTTAATAACATTTCCATCGTTTGAACTGTTTCGAATAATTTTTACCATCACACGGCCCACCATTACATAGCCTACGCCATCTTATAATACCATATAGGTGCATATATCAGAGTTTTTTAAAATACGGGAAAACTGGTGCGAAAGGCTTCAGTGCAATGTGTTAATCATTAGATTTATGTTATACTCAAAAGTGTTATTATTACTCGTATCGATACTGTTAAGTCTTTTGCTATTTTCCGATCGAAACATTTGTGCAACAAAGACAAGGACAGTTCCAGAAAATACTATAGAAGCAAAATCTTGTATAACTAAATCACACAGTAATAGAAGAATGATATAAAATACTAAATGAAGCTCGAGAAGACGCCGTTAATTTGTTTATAAACGATCCCCAGGATTATTGATATACTTTAGAGTCGTTTGTCGTCCTTTCTCCCTTACGAGCAAACACGCATTTTGGATTAATGGTTTCCGTTGACAAAGGTTCGCCACGAATTTATTATACTCGATAGCATTATATTGTTATAGATATGCCGAGGATATCACAAATATATCGTAGCAAATACATAATAAGAAGCCTAACCCGACACAAAAGCAATCGAATGCCATCA